AAAACCCTTGGTCCTTCCTATTATTGCTTATACTCTCTCTTCAACAAAATTAGAGATAAGGGCAAAATAGTTTCTGCCTGGTAGTGAGGGGTTAGGTTGGGGAAGGGAGGGAGCGGGGAGGGGGAACAGAAGGGTGGGTGGAAGAGGGGAGAAATGACCCAAACATAGTATGCACATATGTGTAAGAATAAAAAAGAATTCCCTTTGTATTTTATTGATTTCTGCTCTAATCACATTTTCTATTTTCTGTTTATCCCCCACCTTAGCTTACTGACTTTAGGTCTTTCTTCAGCAAAATATGCATTTGTTGTGGTAAGTCTCCCACAAGCACTACTTTCTTTACTTCCTACAAATTTTATATATTGTTTTAAATTTTTATTTTATTCATAAACTATTACAAGTATTTTGGTATTTTTCATGTGTATTTCTTCCTTAATTCCTTTATAGTCTATGAATCTACCTTGTATGATTTCTGTCCTTTTAGATTTGATAAGGTTTAATGGCCTGGAATATGGTCTATCTTGGTAAATGTTCCATGTGCACAGAGGACTGGAGCATTTTATGGAAATCCAGCAGGCTAGCTGGTCGATGGGACTTTTCAAGTCATTCCTAAGCTTTCTCATTTTCTGCCTATGGTGCCTTTAAGTTACTGTAGAGGAATTTGAGGTCTCTGATTTAAATGGTGGGGTTGTCTATTTTTCCTCATAGCTCATTTTTTTGTTTTTTTAGTTTATGCACATTTTGGGTTTTTACAAGAAGAGGGGAGCAATTGGGTGAGTCTGCTCTCTTCAGATTAGGATAACAGCTGACTACTGATGGGACTCTCTGACATCATAGTAGTAAATCTTCTGTTCTTGATGGAAGGTTAAGACACCTTATCACAGCATCCACCAGGAGTGTGCACGTTTTCTGTTCCTTTTTTGTTTATTATGGTGTTATTTTCCTGGGAATTAATCAACTTTGTATAAACTTTTAGATTCATTTAGGTATAAAATTACTTTCAAGTCTTCCTATTTTTAATATAGACATTATCTGTGGTTATATCATCTTTTTCACTTCTGGTTTTGTTTGTGCTTATTTTCTTTTTCTTGACAGAGGCTCTTGGTGTAAGAATTTTGGGGGTGAGTTTGGGTGGTATAAAGGCCCAGCCTTACTTTGTCCGAGGGTAGTAGAGAAGAAAACTCAATATAGGATTGTGTGAGGCCCTCCATTGAGAACATGTTACCACCCCATCTCTCCCTTTGTCTGGTCTTGCTTGCTTTCTCTGCTTTGTATAATTGTTGGTCAGGAGCTTTCCCTGATCTATTACCTGGTCGGTTGAAAATAACCAGTCAGGTGACATATAGTCAGGGTGAAAGTCCTTACAAGGGCTTTTATAGTTCATCTTTATATTAAGGAGTTAGCTCTTAGCTAACCCAGATTAATCCTTGGTATACTGTAAGGGTCTGTTGGGTGTAATTTAACTTTTTGAGTTTCTTTTTCAAGTATACAAATGGCAATTTGTAAGGATGAGAAAATGTAAAAGGGCCAGTCCAAATCAACGTGTTTACAGTGTCTGCAAAGTGTCTGTCAGGACCTAATCACTCCTCCTCATTCCCCAATAGCAGAATGGCAAGAAATGTTGTGTTACTGTGGTAGAAAACAGGAGGAAAGAAAGAACCCACTCTTAGCAAGTGCCTTCTATGTGAAATTGTCACTATGACCCTAAACTGTCCTTCAAGTATGTATCACTCATGTTTTCTTGTTTTACACGTGAAGAAATCAAAGCTTGAAGAGATGAAGTGACTGAATCAAAGTCACATAATGGGGAAGTTGAGGTCTGAATCCAGATTTTGTATTCCTCCAACTACAATACTCAAAATTATTATAAAAGTCTTTGGCTTCTCAATGTGTGACAAACTTTGTATCTGCTGCCCCTAAAAATAAATATTACACAAATGTCACAAATTGTGTGTGTGTGTATACATTTATGCATAACACACACACATATATTATTGGTGGTACTGGGACTTGAACTCAAGGCCTTGTACTTTTGAGTCACAACCCCAGTCCTTTTGCTTTTAGTGTTTTTTCAAATAGTGCCTAACTTTTTTGCCCTGGCTGGACTTGAACTGCTATCTACTATCTTTGCCTTCTTTGAAGCTGGATTACAGGCATGTACCACCATGCCGTTTGTCTTAGTGATAGTTTCAATGATTTTGCTCAGGCTGGCTTCCAAATGTTATTTTCCTGCATAGCTGGGATTATAGGTATGTACCACCAAACAAATTTTAAGACTCATATGTTTTATCAATTGGTAGATACTAAGCCTAGCTGTCTTTAAAAAAGTATAGACTAGTGACTGGCACAGTGCTGTGGGCTCATACCTGAGTTTGCCCCTTTGTGAGCAAAGAAGCAATAGGCAAGTCACCTTACTTCAGTCTCATGGTCCTAAGTGAGCCTCTAAGTCCTCTTCATGCTCCAAAATGATTATTTAAGAACTCACCATGACACTTTGTTTCGGTAAAGAGTATTTATTAAGACATATTAACATGCTTAATTAAAAGTAATTAAAAAACTAATTAAATATATGCCACTCTCAGTGAACTGTAAAGAAAAAAGGAACACGAACAAAATTGTTTTCATTAACATTTCTGTACTTTAGAAGCCTTTGCATGCTCCAGTCATTAGAAAATCATTAGCCTTGATATGTAAATATTTTTTCTAAATCTTAGAGTTCAGTCTTTTTAAAGTAAATTTTGGCAATGTGAAGTTGACAATATAAAATTGGCATTGAGGTCTGAATGTAAATTATAGACTTTTTAGGATTCCAAGCCTTTGAGAGTAGAAATGTGATTCAAGATTTGCATTCTCAAATGGTGCTATAGGATACTGCTGTCCTTTTAAGAAATGAAATTCTCTTCATTATCACAACAAGGACTAGTTTTCAAATGAAAATTTTTAGGATGCATTTACTTTTGGGGAATTATATAATATTTAGTTAATATGAGCAAGTAATCTTTATGTAAGATGTGAGCCACCAAGAATTTCAGTTTTCCAAAGAATATGATTCCTCATGCCTAAAAATAAAATTGTATCAATTCTGTATACTTTGAGAATTAGCTGTAGAAGTCTAATAAAAATCACAAAAATCAGTAATAATGACAGCTGCTGGCTATTGAGTACTTTGTGCTGTGTACTAAGCTAAACACTTCACATATATCATCTCATTTAATATTTATAATAACTCAAGTGAGTAGGTATGCTACCCTGTCCTATCAATACAACTGAGCCTTACTGAGAGGTTACTAACTACTTGGTACGCTGTGGAGCTGGGAGGTTTAGGCAAGTCTGTTTTACTGTGATTCTAAAGACAGTCACTGTTCTGCATTCCAACCAGGAGACCCTGATCTGTGGAATGAAGGTGAAGATTTAATAATTTTATTTGTGATTCATTGCCAAAATATAATTTGCATTATTAGAATAAGAAGCAAGACTAATTCAAGTGGAATAAAAACCCCTGCTCATTTGAATATTTTTATTTACACATTGTTTTTCATCATTACTCGTGTAAGATTATAAACGCATAGATACCAGAGTATACCAGAATACATGCAACACATTCCACAAAGGAACAAAAATGCACAGTACTACTGAATAAAGAAGCCAAATGACTATATACAAAGTGCTTAAAAAAGACCTTGTGAGACATTCAGACTGTATTTATTTTAATACTTTCCAATAATTACCAAAGGATGCATCATTCATAAATAATATTCAAAATCCCCTATTTCCTATCAGTCAAAATTTAGTGTTTCAACTAGTCAGATGAATGGTCATTCCGTCATGTAAAGCCACGTCACATAGCATCAAAATGAAATCGATGGGCTTCTTGTCGTTTTTCTCTATCATCTGCTTTCTGAAAAAGAATTTTAGGCTAGTTTATAAATGATAAGAAAATATTAAGAAGACTCATTTCTGAAATACAAGTCACTTCTTTTCTTTCTGGTGGGACTGGGTTTTGTACTCAGGGCTCTGTGTTTGCAAAGCTCTATTGCTTGAGCCATGCCTCCAGTTGCGCTCAGCAACTAGAAGATGACAGGTGTGATCTTATAATGTGATAATAGTGTGAAATGTTTTTGTAGTTTGTAGTAGCTATTTTATAGCTAATGATGTACTAATTGAATTTAAACACCAACAAGAAATATTCCTTAAATACTTAGCTTTTATCATTTAAATACTTAGCTTGTTATCTGATAGGAAGAGTAAGTTTAAGGGTAGATTTGCCCATTAACAATGATGTTAACAAATGAATTGAAAGCAATTCTATTAAAGTATATTATTTTTTGGTTATCATATTGATTTAGTAGATATTTATTGAGTGTCTGCTCCAGGCAAGGTCATGTGACTGGTATTTTGAGGGATTAAAAACACTTCTGTTATGTATCATATTCTCCAGGAACTTTAAAAACCTAGAAAGAAAAAAGTAAAATATACTATACTTCAAGATATAAAGAGAAAGACTATTTCAAGGTCTGAGTGAGGAAAGGGGCAGGCTTTTAAAAGACAGTATAAATGCATATTGTGGATTCCCATGAAGTAGTATGAAGGTTTGATGAAGGGGTTTAGGCTATGGACAGTCACTAGGTTTGTGAGCGAGTGACACGATGAAGGTTTAATCCAATGAGTAATCCAACAGTGGTGTGATAAGTGGAATGGAAAGTGGAGAGTGAAGTCGGAGACCAGGCAGGATGGAAGAAAGGGCTGAACTAAACAAGTGATGAGAGGAATGCGGAGTGGAGTCAGGTGAAGAGATTCTTACTGAGGCAAGACTGAGCAGGCAGCTGATTGAATCTTGTGGGTAAGAAAGAGGAAAGATGAAGCTTTAGAGTACTGATTTTTGGGGTGCTTGAAGGTAATCTTTGTAGAAGTATCATGACAACAGTTGTAGATGGGGGAACAGACCTTTATAGAGAGATGAGGGCTGGGGATTTTTTTTTTTTGGGGTACTGGGGTTTGAACTCATAGTAGGTGCTCTATCACTTGAGACATACTGTCAGCTCCAAGGGTTGGGAAATTTCTGAAATAACATTTGAAGACACGCTTTTAGACACTGGCAAGGAAAGTGTGGAAAGAGGGCTTAGGATAGACACTATGGTAAACCTGCATTGAGAACAGGGAGAAGGCAGCAGCAGCACAGGGGAGAAATGGGACAAAGAAGGTGAAACACAGGAGACAGACCATGTCCACAGCTAAGTATGTGCTTGTACTGAGATGTCAGTTTTCAGCAATTGTAGCATAACTGTTGTGAGCCCATGATGTTTATGTTCTTAAAAGATCTCCTGAGAAATTAATGAAACTAATTTCCTTGCTTTCAGGGTCAAGAGTTATGGAAAGTATCACACTGTGTTCTGAGACTTCTGGTCAAACTATGTAGGGTTATCCTTAATCTCACCTTTCAAGCTCCAAAACTTGAAGTTAATTAACTGTTCTTCACATGTGAAAAGAGTGATTTTATTTTGAGAGACAAATTTATGAACATATATCAGAATAATTAACATGTTTTCTTTTTATGAGTTAAAAGAGCAGCTAAGATTAAACAGATGGTAGTTTTAGTTAGCAAAAAAATGATTAGGATAGGCATGACCATTCAAACAGAATAGATGGACAAAAAGAAGGTATCTCTTTTTTTGTCACAAAGAAACCTTTTTTTGGGGGACATTATTGGAACCTATACTGTTTTTTTTTTTCCTTAATGTTGTGATGCTTGGTGTCAAACCCATAGCCTCACACAAACTATGCATGAGACACATTCCTAGCTCTTAAGACTGTTTTTAAAGAGCAATACATTACTATAATAAATTAATCAAAGTTAATGCTTAGTTTAAAGAAACAAACCTTTTCTTGCCAATGTAAAATGCCAATTATTGCCAAGATGAAAACACAGACACCAATGAGAGCAATAGCAGTGAGTAGAACGATGTTACTTGGTGTAAGATAAAGTTTGGCACTCCAACTGTAGATAAAAACAGAAACATTAAAATTATAAATTTTAACTTAATAGCAAGCTTAAACTGAGACCAAAACCCAAAATTCTGTATTAGTAAAAAGTCCATTCATTAAATCATCCACCAATCTAGCCATTTTAAGTAAAACAAGAGCAATTAATTTAGATAGTGCTACCAATACTGATGAAACTATGGAGTTCTTGTTTTTTTTTTGAAAAATGAAGTAGAGTTTTCTTTTTGTGTGTGGTGTTAGGGATTGAACCCAGGGCTCATGTATGCTAGGCAAGCACTTTACAACTGAACTATACTCTCAAATCCTTTGAAATAGAAATTTTGATGAGATATTTTGCTATTTTTCTTTTTTCAGGTTTGATCCTCTGAGACTTATTCTTAAGTAAACTTATCAAGGATATTTTGGACAAATGAAGACACTATTTTTTACATTTTGATCTGTTACACTTGAAACTTTGAATTGTAAATCTGTGCATTCATATGATTTCAGTAAGTCTTCTATGGTATTTTACTTTTTAACCCTTGCCTACATGTGTATTATGACCAGCTAGAACAAACATATGTCTGAGTGGGTATATATAGATGGCTTGGGCAAAACTTCTACCATTTTTTGTGTCATGTTGGAGGGTGTGATGGTTAATCTTTATTGTTACCTTGGCTGGACTGAGACATATAAGGCATTAATAAAGCACACTCCTGGGTGTGTGTGATAGCGTTTCCTTAGACAACTAGATCTTGAGGACTCTGACCTAATGAATCCTTGGATTGATTAATAATGTGATGGAATTACTGGGAAGCAGGATGAAAGGTAGGATGTGGGACCATGCTGGAGGAAGCAGGTCACTGGGGTGGGCCTTGAGGCCTATATCTTGCCCTGGCCTCTCCCTGTATCTGCTTTCTCTGTTTCTTGTCCACTATTAGGCAAAGAAGATTATTCACTTGCTCCCAAGTGCGTGGGGCCAAGCAACCATGGACTGAACCCTCTGCAAGCATGAACAAAGTAGAATTTTACTTCCTTAAATTGTTTCTGTAGGTATTTGGTCACAGTGAGGCAAAAGTAACTAACATAGTTGGTTTATATTATTGTAGTGACTTTTATGTTGAGACCTCCTACAAAATCTGCTTTAGTCCCTCACTGTTTATGGCAGTATATAGGACAAAAGGTCATCAGCATAAACAAAACTAGCTCTTCTCTTCTGATTACAGCAAATCCTGAAAACCTAAAACCAAGGACTTCATCACCAACGTTCCAAGTGGTTATATACAGAACTTTTTTATCCCCTGGAAGAAGAAAATGAATATGTTTTCATTTAAAATATTTAATAAAGGTAAGACCAGGAAATAGCTATTGATTTATTTTGGGATAATTAAAATTTATTGATCCGTAAGTTAGCCTGTAGTCAATAAAACTCAAAATACACCTCAAAGTAAAATCAATTTCGTTTTTATTATGTACATAAATTTAAAAAGAATGTTTCAGAAAGAGCAAAAGAAACATGAAAGATGATTTTAAGAAAAAAGGAGTGTAGGCATTTTGGAAAAAAAGGTAGGACAAAAAAATCAATAATCAGTTGCCTACTTGGAGATATATATATGAACATATATGTATAGAGATCTTTAAAAATCACAACAGTAACTTACACATACTTCCCTGCATTTTGATATTTTTTTGCTCACCATTGCATAGTAAGACATTATTTTATGTTTATGGCATTAAAGAAAATGAGTCATTATACTGCACTATATAGAAAAAAGCACCATACTTTATAGTTTTTGTACTCATGACCCAGATTTTCTAATTTTGTTATAAATTTCATGTATAAAAATGATCACAAATATACAATACAAGGTCATTAAAAAAAACTGAACCAGGGTCAGGCATGTGGCACTCCCAGCTACTCAGGAGGCTAAGGTGGGAGGATTGCTTGAGCCGAGGAATTTGATACCAGTCTAGGCAACATGGCACTGAAATCTACAATCAACTGCATGCAGTACTGTGCTGGTAAACTGGCTCTAAGGCAGATGGGAGGACAGGTCTGATTTATGGCATCTAATTGTAGCAATCCTCCTACAATTTCCAACTTTATTGTGACTTCACTGAAAAGAGATGGAGAAAGATGCAGACAATTCCTTAGGTGGCGTGAGCTGGTTCTGGCATACCACTGACACCATCCCATCCTAAAGTTTAACAGTGGTAGAGGGTCTGCTTGACATGCACAGGCACACACATATACACACAATAATTCTGAAATTTTGAGATTATAGCTAGTACAAATCAAAGACTAATTTAAGCAGAATACGTAGAAATCACTAGTTAGCCTGATTTTTTAAAATAGGAATGACATTGTTCTTCATGAAAGATGTTAGGGAACTTTTGTGTAAGGTGTGTTTAGTCATTTAAAATTTGCTGTAAGCAAATTAAGAGATGGCACTTCTGGGAAAAGAGGATTAAGGCAATATATAAAAGCGATAACTCTATCTATGATTTCAGAGCTGAAAGTACCAAATTCAATTCAAGCAAGGACATTACCTTCGAGGGACATTGTGAGGGTAGGGAATGACAATTAGCTGGGAATTTGGAATGATTGCAGTCCACTCTTGTTTTCGTACAGACTAGAAAAAAGAATTTAAGAACACTTAACATTTGGTACATTTAAGAAACAATTATTCTTCTAAATAAGGAAAACTCACAGGTATTTTGAGAAGTTGAAATCTTAGGTATGGATTAAGGTAAATTTCTATATATACTTAGTCCAAAATAGGGTTCTATACCATCTATTACAAAATTTTTCTGATCTTCTCAGGGAGGATTATATTTGTGTTTTATGAGTTCTTTCAGCAAATATTTACTGGACTCAGATTGCAGCGTTGTTTAAAGTGTTATATATAAGTGTTGGTTGGTGCTAAAATTCAAATTGAGGGGAAACTGACAAAATGACACATTATTCTACATACTATATTTGTTTAATACCAATAATAAGTTACAGGTACAATATACTAAATTATAGGTACAGTATGTTAAATTATAAAATACAATACACAGAGGTATAATAATATTATTTTATTATGTTAGTAAAATATTATTTATGCATCCCAAGTAGTAAAAAATGTCAAGAAGGAAAATGAAGAGAAGATGTGAAGTTGTGAGGGATAAGGGGGAAGAAATGGAAAAACTATATAATATCTTTAAGTCATGATATGCTTTATATGAAGCAAGTTTAGGCCACCACCAATCATTTTTATTCTTTAAAGGGAATAAAAATAATTGAATTACTTGAATTCAAATTCAGTTGGATCAAACTATTGAATTCACATATTTAAACAGTGAATATTAAAACACATTAATTATAAACAAACTAAATTTTTGCTTACCGTCTCTCCAAATGGACGCGGAATACCAACATAAAGATGGTCAAGAAAATTTGCACTTCGACCCAAACCGAGTACGTTGTATGGTAGTTGGAGAGCTAAATGTGCTGACTGGCTGAGTTGGCCGGCTAGATTTGTTAAAATAAAGCGAAATAAGAAACTGCTCCCATCAAACATTATAATGATAAAATGTTAATAATTTAGGTAATTGAACATATCTTTAGGTACAAAAATGTGAAATAAACATTCAGTTCCTTAACAGTAATGATTTACTTTTTATGGAAAACAGCTTTGGTTGAGCTATAATTCACATACCATAAACAGTGCCCATTAAGAGGGTAAGTTAGTGGCTTTAAATGCATCTGAAGAGTTAAGCCTGATTCCCCACAATCTAGTTTTAGGACATTTAATCACTTAAAAAGAAACTTCAAGCCCATAAGTGACACTTTTGGTTCCAGCTGCCACACTTACAGCTGTAGGTAATCTCTAACCTGTTGTGAAGACTTCATTGTATGCATTGTATACATTCATTGTACTGGTGTCTTTCACCTCCTATAATGTTCTCAAGATTCGTGCATTGTTGTAGCATGTGTCAATGGAAATTAGTATATAATTTTTAATATCTGCTTATGTTTTCTTGTCTTTTGGTTATATACCTAAGAGTATATAGACTATATGCCTAAGAGTTAACATCTTTTTAGGGATTGCAAAACTGTTTTCTAAAGTAGCTGTACCAGAAATAACTTTTTAATGTCTTAGAGCACAGGAGGTCAAGTATGGCTGACAGCAATTAATTGTATATTTAAAAATAGCAGAGAAGATTTTGAACGCTCCCAACACAAAGAAATGTTAAGTGTTTGAGATGATGGATATGCTAATTAACCTGATCTTATCATTTATACATTGTATACATGTACTGAAATATCACTGTACCTTACAAATATGCAGTTATGATGTGTCAAATATATTATATGTGAAGTAATAAAGTAGCTGTATCATTTTATGTGTGAAGGTTCCAATTTTTCCATATTCTCACTGACACCTGTTATTATCTGTCTCTTTGATTACAGTATCTTAGCTGCTGTGAAGCAGTGTCTCACGGGGTTTATTTACATTTCACTAATAACTAGTGATGTTGAACCTCTTTTCATGTGCTTGGTAACTTGTGTATAATCCTCTTTATTTCTATAAGATGATCTTTTTCGTTCTGGATTTTTCATTCTTATTATTAAAATCTGTTTTTCCTGATTAGTCTAACTAAGGTTTGTCAATTTGCTAACATTAAAAAAAAAAAAGCATCCTTTGGTTTAATTGATTTACTTTGTTTCTATTTCCTATTTCATGCCTTCTGCTTGCTTTGTCATTTCTTTTCTCTTCCAGTGATAATGCAGCAGTGTTAAAAATCAGTAATAGGACATCTTAGAAATTCATAAATATGTGGAAATTAAACTGCACACTCCAAAATAAAGAATGGGTCAAAGAAAAAAAAATCACAAAAAGTTAGAAAAGTGAATGAAAACAAAAACCACAATATACTAAAATCTATAGAGTGCAGCTAAAACAGTTCTTATAGGGAAAGCTACTGCTGGAAATTCCTACATTAAAAAATAAAACAATGTGAAATAAGATTTTCTTTTCCCACTTTCCTTCCCACTTTCTCCTTTGGTTCTCACTTGTTGCATAGGCTGATCAGACTCCTGGACTCAAATCATTCTCTACCTGGTACTACAGGGGAGAACCACAAGCCTGGCTCCAATTATTTATCATTAAATTATTTATTTCTCACTTCATTTCTTCAGTTAGGTGCAAACATATTTAGAGTTTTAAAATATTATCTTTAACTTTTATTTTGAGGGTATCTTGCATACATATTTTCCTTTATCCATTCTGATATTTTGTCTTTTGATGAGTATTTCATTTACTTTTTGATAAGGCAGCATTATACCTACTATTTACTATTTGTTTTATTTCTCTATTGCTGCTTTATTTTGTTAAATGTTTTCTATGTTTTCCCCATTGCTTTTGAGATAGGGTTTTGCTATATAGCCCAGGCTGGCCTTGAACTTGCAATCCTCCTGCCTTAGCCTCCTGATTGCTACTATTACGGGTCTGTACCACTACACCCAGTTTGCAGTTGTCTTTTTTTTTTTTTTTCCTGGTGGGACTAGGGTTTGAATTCTGGGCTTCAGGCTTGCAAAGCAAGCACTCTACTGCTTGAGCCACCTCCAGTCCATTTTTCTCTGGTTATTTTGGAGATGGGGTCTTGTGAACTATTTGCCTGGGCTGGCCTTGAACCTTGATTCTCCCAATCTCAGCCAACCAAGGTAGCTTGGATTATAGGTGTGACCTACCTGCACCTGGAGGGAGTTATCTTTTAAGTTGATTAGGAAACAAATGAGTTCTACACGAGAAAGCTTCATTTATACTAGCACTTTTATTTGTCCAGAGTTAGAATTTCTAGTGATCTTTACTGATCTCTAGATTCAAGTTACTGTCTAGTGTCCCTCAGAGTTCACCCTGAAGGGCTTCCTCTAGTTTTCAGAGGTCTGCTAATGATGAATTCTGTTATTGATTATTGGGGAATGTCTAAGATTCTTCATTTTTGAAGGATAGTTTTGTCAGATATAGAATCCTTAATCAATAGTCTTTTCCTTCAGCACTTTGAATCAGATTGATTCCTTCTTATTTTCCAGGAGAACACTACACTGACATGCAATTTTGAGTAGTTAATGCATTCTAAAGTTGTGTTGTTTTTAAAGATCATGAATTAAGCAATAAGGCAGTAAGAAGATTAAATTACATTGGGCTACTTCTCATGTACTTTGCTTTTAGGGAAGTTATGAAAGCCTACAGTCCACAAACAGTGGAGAAGACCTTTTGATAACTCTACTAGTTCTGACAAATATCTGTCAAAACCAAAATTTAAGTAATGTGCATATAAGAGTTAGGAAAAGCATTAAGGGAAATTTATTACCTAAGAAAAAAGGTCTTTAAAAATTCATCTTTCTAGGTATGTGAACATACGTGTGTTGTTTTTGTGTTGTTTCTAAGTCATAAGAACACTGAATTCTTTTTCCCTGAAAGGCTTAAACCACAAGGAATTTTCATGTAACAGTATTATCTACAGCTCCTCTAGCACTAACCTGGCTTAAGAAAAAGTAGGGGATCTACAAAAACGAGGTAAAAATATACATTTAAATACCCAGTGTTTTGTGTTACTTTGGAAGAGAAAACTGTTCCAAGAAGTGTTTTTATGGTGGTGCTGGGATTTGAATTTAGGGCCTCACACTTGCTATGCAGGTGCTTTACCACTTGAGCCACTCCTTCAACCTTCCTAGAAGTATTTGTAAATCTCAAACTGACAACTCTGAAACATCAAGTAAAAGAGAACACTGAAAGAGTATAAAGTACATAAATCAAACACAATGAATACATAAACAAGAAGAAGAAGTATCTAATGCTTTCAATGTGCCCCAAACAGCAAGCATTTGTGTGTTTTTTCCCCATCAGTAAATGGAGAGGTTAGACAATTTGATGAAAAACACAAGTACTCAGTGGTGTAGCTAGGATTTAATTTCAAATCCCACACAACTGTCATCACCTGAGATCCTGTCTTCAGTTGAAAAAGAAGTGTCACACTTGTCTTACTGTTCTATAAGAAGGACTTCTTATGATGTAACACAACCTTTTGCAATAATAGTTGTTTCTCTTTTACTATTTTCCTCTGCAATATTACAGCGGGGTCCTTGGATGTGATCTGGGAATCTGTAACATTTTATACCCAGTCAAGGATTGCTGTTATCATGGCATTTGTTGATTCTTATAAATCAGACCAGAGGGCCATACTTCATTTCATGTCTTGAGGACTGGGATGCCCCATTCTATACCCAGAGCCTGGCTATTTAAGCATGCCTTCTAGAGGATGTGGCTGGTTAATCTGGTGGATCTTCAATGAAGAACACCAATTTGCTGAGGGAGAGTTTAATCCATTTATATCCCTACAGGATAATTATGGTGAAAAAGATAGTGTTCTGCACATGGATCAGCCCTTGACCCACACTAAGATGGGCTCAGGTCCTCTGCATCATTTCAAATGACTTCAAAGGGTTATATTTGGTAGACTGAAAATTTTAGAACTATTCTCACTGCTTGTAGGGGTACATGCTAAGTGAAAAATCATGATTTTTGTTCCATGTAGTGTGATTGTTAAATTATATTTTCTTATAAAAATAGGGGATAATACTTCTTTGTGAGGAGGCTTTGTAATTTTGAGAACCGCAAACTAAATATTAACATGAATAACAGAGGTTAGGAAAAATGAAGACTTTGAAAGAAGAGTATTATATATTCACAGGTTTAATATTAAATATACTTGATTACACAGGGCTGTAACATATGAATGATTTGGCCAGTAGCGTTTCCTCTGAAATTAGCATGTACTCCTTCTTTAGTGGCTTTTCTGACTTTCTCACTTCATAAAAGATCATGCTTTTATTATATGTCACATCTGCCTTGAGTCTTTCAAGTGTAAGTAATGATATATATAAATCAGCATGCTCTTTGCTCATGAGGTGACCAATACATGATCCTTTTTGCTGGCAGAGTGAAGGGATGAAGAAACAGACTGTGTTCCAATATTAATATATTTGCTTTCTTATACCAAAGCTATTCAGAGTAAGTAGGATTCTATTAAAATCTGATTTTTTTAGCCTACAATCCTAGCTACTCAGGAGGCAGAGATCAAGAGGACAGCAGTTCGAAGCCAGCCCTGGGCAAATAGTTCTTAAAAAAACCCATCGCAAAAAAGGGCTGGTGGAGTGGCTCAAGTGGTAAGAATGCCTGCCTAGCAAGTGTGAGGCCCTGAGTTCAAACCCCAGTGTTGCTAAAAAAAAAAAAAAAAAAAAATCCTGTTTTTGATAAATGATAAAAAAATTAGAAAATCATTTGCTTTCCTTTGCTGTTAGTCTATTTTAATTGTTAACAGGGTTACAGTTCTGATACATCTATTGAAAATTTCTTATTATAGAATTACAAGTCTAAGACCTGTGTTAATTTAGTGTCACTATATAAATACTCCCTTATTTATTTATTAAAAAAAGTTTAGCTAGTGAGTATCTTAAGAACAAGA